GAGTGGTGTTATGCAAAATCAACTTTTTGAACTTTATATCATATTATCATTCCTTCATCAAAAGCATCCCCCGATTGTTGCTTTGACTCATTCATTCATGTTTGAGAAATCCTTGAATAGTCATGTGGAGCTGCCTAAACACAAGTTGCTACAAAGCTCCACCTATATGAACAAAGCTCCTCCCTGGAGCTCAGTCTGCAGCCAAGCTCCCGCCCCACAGAGCACCCCTCCCCTGAAGCATTGTTGTGAAGACGTGTTGAAGTGGCAGTGTCAGAAATGGTAGGAGGTTCTTAAAGAGACAGAGGCCAATTTCATGGCGTTTTGATAGGCTATGATGCAAAGTCAAATTTATTTTTACCTCCAGGCTGTCTGTAGCGGAGGTGTCGAGGCGTGGACGGAGAGCGACATGGAGACATGTCTCCTGTGTCACTGCTCTGTGGAGACTCAGGGATGATTTTCTCCAAAGACGCTGATTCCAACACCGCTGTAAACAAAAAGAGGACAAGCAGGACAACAATAACAGAGCTGGTTAAAGATGGTGATTATTTGGGCCGCTGTTTTATAGAACAAGAAACCTCACTTTGATTAGGTTTGCAACCATATCAAACAAATATTGATTATTATTCTGATTGACAGAAACTACAGCTTTTGTTGCAAAATGAAAATTTTGAACATGGTTCTATAAATACGTGCACATATGTGCAACAAAAGAACAATAATCTGCACAGATCATCCAGCTGCATGTAAACAAACATCCATTTATGTGGTTTTTTTTTCTGTTGGAATAACAACTTACTTCTCCGAATGCTCCGTCTCAGTTTCCCACAGAAAGGGTCCATTTTCGGCACCTCGTCCCCCTCAGCTGCTGGACAGGGGCCTTGCTCAGGCGAGGACGGAGTCAGGGGAGTCTGCTCCTGCGGGGACTTGGCGTTGTTGGGAGGAGGGGAGGTGGAAGAGGAAGGAGGAGGAGAGGTAGTAGTCGGAGTGGGTGTCTGAGGCGTTGGGGTCTGGGGGGTGTGGGCGGATGTGGGGCTACTGCCAGCAGACTGGGACGTGCTGTGGTTGTACACGGGAGATGTCAGGTCCAGACCCCCGACCCTGGCGGTGATGGGGGAGTGAAGGGAAAGCTTTCGGGTTCGGACCGGGGAGGAGGTGCGGGACGAGATGGATAACGGCGGAGGGGAGGAGAACTTGCGGCAGAGACGAGGGGATCTGTCATTCATGCTGTCACTGCCTCGGTTATTTTGATTGGTGGCAAAAAATAACTCCAAGGATCTGAGAGGGAAAAAAATCTGTATATTAGTATAAATACAAGTACAGAAAGCAATAATGACCCATAACTTAGTTTACTAACAAATTGATTTGGTTAAACTTTTTCCCAAAAAGTATAACAAAGACCTGATTTTAGTTCAAAATATAGTAATTAAATTAATTAATTATTCTTTTTAATTGTCCAGAATGCTCTGGGTGAACTTTACAGTACTAAATTTCTATTTGTTTGCATTTTTCCWGATGGAGTTAGACACAGTGATTTATAACATGTGAAGTGCAGTCAGACAATATTGACAGACTTTTATTGTGGATCAGTTTTTTTGCATCGCACTGCGCTGGAAATGAAATAACATCTTTGAGGTTGCCTTGGTGACCGTCAATTTTAATTTCAATCATTGTGCATTTATAGTATTTTAGCAGTTGTGTTGTAACTGCATAGTTTAAAGGAACTGCAATAAAGCGGAACAGTGAGCATGGCGCAGTAATAAAGCTGAATCCTCTGAGAACTATCCTCAGTTTGTTCAGTTTCCTGCAGCTCTGAGAAGCTTTATAGCAACTGTCAGGTTTGTTTGTCCTGAAACAATCTTGGACCAATTTTACCGCTTGTACATTTGGGCTTTTGTATTTAACAAAGCAGCTTTGATTGGTTTAAAAGAGAGCTTAACATTGCACCTAATAAATACATGAATAAAGCTCCTATAATGTAAATCAACTGTGTTTTTAGGCCCAAAGTTTGAAATATTGCCTTATTGTCACAGCTGGGAGCCTCTCGGACGTGCAATCAAAGTGTCCTCTGGTATCAATGCTGTGACGCTTTGGTCCAAGCAATATTAGATGCCAGGAGCAAACACTACCTGATTGAATTTGACAGAGTCCTTATTAGATGGTGGAAGGAGTGAGAGACGAAAAACAATAGGACTTCAATCATAAAAACAGTCTCAAAGATCAGTTGGCAGTACCATGTTTCTGCTTTAATCCTACTGACTTTTAGCTCATATTTAATGAAACAAGCAACAAAGACTGGTGAAAAAATGTRCTGATCAGATCAAAGTTTGAATTGGGAAATAACGTCAGATATGTTCTCAAGCATATTTAAAGGAGACATATCATGCTTTTAGATCCTTCTTTTTCACTTTTAAATCATTTAGTTGGGGTCTGTTTAAAGTGGAACTGCAATGTTTTGGTCTGAATTCCTTCTTATTGTAACTCCACAAGCCCCTCTTTCACCGCTTTTCTGAGATGTGTCTCAGATTAACTCGTTTCGAGGCTGTGTCTTTAAATCCAAATGAGACGCTTCACAGCCCGCTCTCACTTTTAAAGGTAATTTGCAAACTGATAACTCTGCACAGTAAAGCAAAACTGACCCTCCAATAAACTTTCAGTGTTTTAATATTTTAGAGGTGGCTATATTTTGGCTCCCTCTTGGTTGTGCCCCTGGATATGAGACTTATAAAGTGGAAACTATTCTAAAAACAACAATTAAAAAAAGAAGCACTTGGATCAAACTGGGTTGAGAAGCATAACGTGGAAAAAKACATCAAGCTGTATGGGGATGAACAAATCACCTTGACGGGAAAATAACGGAGAAATGTGAAACACTGAGGAAAGAACGATGCGTTAAAAACCTTAAAATATAAATGATAAAGAACATAGAAGCCACAGGCAGGAAAAGAGAACCCAAACAGAATCTACTTAAAGATACAATCTAACAAGATGTGATTTGTTTGTCAGAAAACATGCTATTTCACACACTGCAGATTTTACACACTACATATTATATTTAGTCAACTTCTTTCCATTTAATCTAAAACACCGGTGTCCAATCCTATCCTGCATATTTTACTTGTTTCACTGCTTCAACACTTGTATCAGTGATTTGATTACCTCTTCAAGTTCTGCAGAGGCCTGCTATTCACCCATTCATTCAAATCAGGTGTGCTGGAGCAAAGAAACTTCAAAAACCTGCAGGATAGTGGCCTACGAGAACCAGGACTGGACACCACTGATTTAAAACATTTAAGACAGGTGGAAATACAATCTAGTTATTCATGTATTCATCCAGGCTAGGTAAAGGGARAGTCATGCATCAGTTTTGCATCAGACTGCAAGAGAAGGAAAAGTCTAACAGAGAGCGCAGGTTTGGAGGGCAGAGAAAAGTCTCAGTTACTTGGACTGATCCATAGCTATCTTCTTGATCTTCAGACTGTAGTCAGGACAGATGGAGGAGATGGACAGACGGTCAAATGAGTGGTACCGTGTCCTGGAGATGGAAGGGAGATGTAGAGACAAGGAAGACAGGTGACATTGAAAAAAAAGAATTAAATGAGTGAGTTGTGATGTTTGGATTGAGACATAAAAAAGGGAGATGTAACAGAGATAGAAGGTGGTTTGAGGAAAGATGTTGGAAAAACAATAAATTATTCTATTGGAGGAAATGTGCATCATAGGGAGGAGGAGATGCTGTGAGTCAGAGAACTGCAGCCTATTCAGACTTTATGATAAGGTTTGACCACATGGGAGGAAATATAACACCGGAGTGGCTCACAGAAAGAGTTTTTGTCTGTTTTTCTCTTTGATAAAAAGTAAAATGGACCCTTTGACCTCAAACTTTAAACCTATATGAGGCCCTGTTCCAGTAAAATAGTCTATAAACAAACTATTTCTGCGGAAGTTATTATTATTATTTTTTGTATGCATGATAAGAGTATTTTTTCTACAAATGACTGAGATGTTGCCACGCTGAACAACCTAAAAAAGATTAACAGGRTTTTAATGTGTCTAAATCCACTATCTGGTTGAACTTCGTCACCATTACTGCCGTGTTGGATTAGTCTCTTTTAGTAGAGGGGGGGTACAGCCCAGAGAGCACGAGAGGCATACCCTTGTTTCCTCAGAGGTGTAAAAATATCAGTTTATTGTTTGTATCTAAAAATCACTGAAAAAAGTTTTAATCATTAAAACTCTACATAACTCGGTTCTTCTTTCTTTTCCTTTTCCAAATAAAAGTTTTAAAACTTATTTTAGTTTGATAGTGATGGAAAGGTTGAACGCATCTTTGGGAGAGGTGGGGAGTAGCGAGGGAAGGGGGTSCTGCTTTGAGGAAAATAGGTTAGGAACCACTGCCTTACAGCTACCTAATGTTTAAATCTGTTTAATTTTCTGTGGCTGAAGTTACATTACAGAAAATAAAAATTACATTCCCTTAGGAGATGCTTTGGGAACAGGAAGGAACACAGAGTCAGCTGAAAACAGGAATCCCTCTCAGTTCTACAACAATGAACTTTGATTCAGAGTTCTGCAACTTTTCTACTAAAATCAGCACAAAATTTTGTCCATTTGTAGCAAATATCCCCAGATGGAGAGTCTGTCTTCTTTCACACTATGTTCCAGTTAGTTTGCAGACTGTTAGAAACTGTTTTCCACTATTTTAAACATGTTGATTTCAGGGATTCTTTGTCTCCAGATTCTCCCTCGACCTCAAAGGTTTGAGGTATTTTAGGTAAACTCATACCACTCCTACAGCCAGGTCACAAGTCCTAGCTGTTTTTTTTTTTTTTTTTTTTTTTTTTTTTTTTTTTTTTTTTTTTTTTTTTTTTTTTTTTGAATGTTGTTTTTCATGCGATAATATGAAACTAAAATGAGAGTTTTAATAGAAGGACCACCCACACAGATCCATGTTTTCTTCATTCTTCTTGTGTCTGACGCAGTGAAAGCAGCCACAAACCAGGCAGAGGTAAATCTTGCCCTTCGACACAAAAAATCCCAAAGCATCAACTCTGAATTTAGTAAAACTGTGGAAAAGGTAAAAATAAACTAAAATAAATAAAAAATATTGTAATGCAGCCAGGGACCTAATGAGAGTTAGACTGAATCTCATCTGGCCAACAGAATATTCTGGTGAGTTTGCCAAAAATGTCGCTAAGGCATCTGTTCTACTGGGCCCTCAGATGGAGGCTGTGTTTCATTTATTTAGAGCATATTTAACCCTGCAAAAAGAGAAATAAGTTGTGTCGGGCGCAAACAACAGTCTGGCTTCTTTAGAGAAAATTATATGTTGACCCTTTCAGGCGTTTGCCTGTACCATGATCCTCAAAAATTCAAAATTTTCACAAAAAAAACCTGTATTATTCACACACAGAGTAGTGAAGTGTGGACGCAGGAGGACTGTTGGCCGCRKGGAAAGACAGAACATGGGGTGGAGATAACAGAGGAGCAGGGACAGGAGAACTAGAAGMGGTGGGGAACTTRTTTCTTGTGGCAGAGTGGGTYACATAGTGATTGTTTAATTTAATTTATTGTTTTTTATGTGCTAAAGGCTCTGAGATGTAAAATAAATTTGAAGCTGAGCTTTTGAAAAAATCCATGAGATTTCTCAATATGTCCGTATACCTGAAAAATGGGGGTAAATCTGTGTAATTTACAAACAATCCATACAATTTGACATAAATCTTCAGAGAAAATGAGACATTTTTCTACATCACAGTGATTTAGACCTGATAGGGATGGAAGAGAAGGGCTTCTTGTAGATGTCAGCCAGTTTGTCCATGACCACAGCTGCTGTGGTGAAGATCCTGTACGTGTGCAGAAAGGTGTTCAGGAAGTCTATGGACAGGAAGCGCAGGTCGGTCAGCCTCTCCAGGAGCCGCTCCACGCTGGCGTAGCGGATCTGGGGGACCTTGCAGGAGTTGAGCGTCTTGCTGAAGCAAATGTCAACATCATCTTTATGGAGGCGCACATCGGATCTGATGGATATACACATAAGCACACACACACACACACACACACACACACACACACACACACAAACACACACAAACACACAAAACGACGCATGGGTGAATGCTCAGTGGCAAATCAAGAAAAAGTTTATAAAAGCAGCAAAGGAATAAAACAAAAACAATTTAAGCCAAGTAAAAGAGAAGAAAAGCACAAATTAAAATTAAACTAAATGTATGTTTTTTTTTACTTTATCATATGATTATTTCTACACACAAAGATGGATGAAATAGTATCAAAACAGTCACAGAAGTTTAAAAATAAAATTCATGTTTTTTCTAATAAAGGATCATTTCAATTCACCTTACAACAAAGAAATTTACACTGATTAAACTGCATAATTTATCGCAAATCTGATCGTTTTTTGGAAAAGCTTTTCTGAATCCTGAAACAGAAAGAAAATAAACTTGTGTTTCTATGTTTTAAGTATTTTTTATCATCCTTTTCTATGTTGGGGTATGGTCTTGTATAAATGTTTACAACATTGTACAATCTTTAAGGTGAACAATTAATAAAATGAGAAAAAAAACAATGCCTTCAAGACCTTTTCAGTTTTATCAAAATAAATGTTTAACTTTTTTGTGTGTTTTCTACCAGCATTTTAATATTGTTTGTATTTATAGAAAACAGAGACAAAAGTCTATAATTACATGGACCAATCAGGAAATTAAAGCAAAAGGTGAAAACCTGTATGTAAAATACTAAAATCCTAATTTTTTTCAGGTCTTACTTGTGTCATTTTTTTTAAATAATTTCTCCGCATAACTTCAGAGGCTTTTAACAATATTACTGCAACAGGCGCTCAGAATGAAAACATGAATATTTGTCTATACTGACACAAACTTACTTGATCATGTGAGGCACAGTGACTTTAGAGTTCTCCTCAAAAACACTCGTCATCAAGCCATTACAGCGGATGTTATCGATGCACTGTGGAAAATGAGAGGATGAAGGATGAAAGCATTTAAAGATTTTTGTTGTTTAAACAGAAGCAGGAAACTGGTGATAAAAAACTACTTAAACATATAAAATTAAAGATACTCTGGATTTTCTCTGGCTGTGTTTTAGCATTTTCTATTTGTTTCTTTGAAAATAAGCTATTTAAAAGAACTGATAATAAATTGGCATGAAAAACTGTCTGTGTATTTTTCTGTCTGACAGGAATTAATCCTGTGCCACACTTAGATGGTGTTACCTTGTTTGCAAAGAACTGAGGCGGTGAGCTGAACCCAACCCAGGGGAGCTGCACCGCAGTCTGTGTTTACTTACTAAGCTTTCTCTATGCCCAGAGGAGTCAATCTCTTGCTGATTAGAGCTTCTTGTCTTATGTGTTTGTCTGGGAGTGTGTTGGTGGGAACTGAGTGTCACCTGACTAATATCACTCGTCCACGCCGCCTTCTCCTGTCGCGATGGAGCCAGCAGCACCACGGTGAACGAAGGCGAGTCTGAGGGTTCTACCACCAGCTTAAAGTCCAGCTGACCAAACACCTGCCCACCAGCTTTAGCTGCAAAACACAAGGATGAGAATAATCCTTTTACAGTAAAACAGAAAGCTAAAGGCAGCAAAAAAAAGGAACATTTGTACTATTACAAACACATCCAGAAGCAGCGAAGGTTAATTAGGCAGACCTCTCTGTTCTTCTGCACCCTTGAGATTTATAAATAAAAAATGACAGCAAGGAGGCACTTACACACGGTTGCCTCACTCCTTGTATTACTTTTATGTAGAATGCAGTTTCCCTAATTGCTACACGGGTTGTCAAATGGAAAAAGTAATGGTCCTGTAATGTTAAAAGATCAAACTCTGACATTTAGAAGGGTGAACAGCTGATATTTAAAGGAAGTCATTTCTGGACAGTTACTATTTGGCATCTAATTAACCCCCATAAGTAATAAAGAGGCTAAATGAGCCAATAAAAGCGGTTCATGCGTCAGAAAAGTGGACACGTTATTCAGTAAATGCGATAAACTTACACTCATCATCATTGGTGTCTGGTTCCTCTATAAGTGTGCATTCAATCAGGGACAAAACTCCCCCTTGCTGTGGGATTAATTAAAACATATAAGCACAAACTTTTAGAAAACAAGTTTCCTCACAGAGATGTTTTCACACAGGTATCAGTGGCGTCACCTTAAGGAGGTGCAGTTTTCCTCCAGAGCTGCGAGTGCACACGAGGAAGTGTTTGGTGAAGAGGAAACACTGTCGTTCCCCCTCTTTCTTCAGCGACAGAGACCCCAGGCGGACCTTGCTTAGCTTCCCTCGCTCCACTGATGGCAGCTGGATCAGAGAGCCTGTGGAGCAGGAGGGGCAGAGGATTACGTGACAATTCATTAAAGAGACACTAATCTGTGCGCTGTGTTTACCCAGCATTTTACAGTGGTGCAAAAATGAGTAATACACAAAACAAGCAGCCGAACTTGTACACACCTGCTTTTGATCTGAGTGTGGAAACCCCACAAATGAAAAAAGATGAGATCATTAAAATTAGGAGGCTACTGTCAGAGTTTTTTTTTTGACTAAAGCAGAACTAAAATAAAAGACTTGCATAACACACTATGACTCTCAGATACTACCACACCAACCATTAGCTCAGTGTGTGTAAAATTCTTGGCATTTCAGACATTTGTATGTTTGCTATAGCACTATCTGTGCAGTCATTGTGAATTGGGTTGACTTCAATAGTTAATCAGCTGAAGTTGAACATACAATGTTTAATTTCTGAGAGTTTTAGTGAAATATGTTGTTTATGAAAGAAGGCATAGACACAAAATGTTAAAAAGCAATCCTGCACAATTCATTAGTAACCAGTAGAGCTGCACAATTTATTTGAGCATCGTCATCGYAATGTAGGCTACGTGTGTCACATCTCAGGCCCTGTGCTGAATAAGGCAAATTAAATTAAAAATTAAGTGTTATCAAGGGACTAAACCAGTCAAACACTAAACATTTATGTGTTATAGCTTTTATTTTAACGGGTTGCTTCCGCAGGTGGAAGCAGCTGCAGGCGTCTGTGAGTGGCTTTGTGTAAAAATATAAAAATAAAAGCACAAACTGCTGGGACAATAATGGCCACGTTTCACAGAGAAGTGTTGCTCGTGAATTCTCGAGCTGTGGAGGAAGACGACGAGGATCGTGATGAAAATGAGGAGGAAAAAGCGATAAAACACGGTTAGCGTGAACGCTAATATTAAAGCGGAAACAGAAACAAAGCTTGAAACAAAGGCAACATGTCAGGTTTGTTTAATAGTTAAACTCAATTTACGTTTGCGCATTATAGAAGGCAACAACTCAGGTTCCAGCACAATAAAAGYAAGCAATAACTCACAAATGTAGACAAAAAAACATACTTGTAACGCGACTCGTGTAGAACAAGACGCTAGCATATCTTCATGTGTTATTCAAGTCAATTGTTACAAATTCCTGTATTTTTTCACATCGCAGGGTTAGAAAWAAATCACATCAGCTTTTCTTGATATTTTTCAGCCTTAGTACTACTTTGATTTTTAGCTTAATATCTGTAAATTTGACTGATTAAAGCCATTTTTCATGTCTGCTAAGGATGTTGTGATAGCCACCTTGACTGGGGTTGAATCCAAGAGGTAATTAGTGGTGGATGTTCAATGATTACTATCTAAGAGTTTCAATAAAACTCACCCAGTGTTCACATAGTGGGCAAAACATTAAACAAGCAGTGATGAAACCCCTGTCAGGACTTCATCCTGTGCTGACTGACTCATCCACAACAGGAAAAGCTCAGCCTGCTCTCCTGCGTGAGGCAACCCACCACGTGTTTYGCATCCTCCGAGGTGTCAGTTAGCCAACAACATTAAATCCACTGACAGGTGAATTACACTGATTATCTTGTTACAATACAGAGCTCCTTTGGGAATTCTCCTGTCCTGGCATTTGTGTGGGAGTTCCTTTGACAAGCCCGTCCTACTTAAACATCGCTGCAGACTGAGCACACGCGCTCATGGCAACATCAGCAACGCCCTTCCTCACTAAGACAGAATATTACACCACTCAATAAAAACTGCTCAGAGACAGACAGACAAATCCAGGATCCTAATCCATAGAAACCAAAGGAACCAGCCTGAACCCGAGCTGAGAGAATTCAAACAAGCTGAGCGTRTATCCAAATACCAAAAACTACGTGACATTTTCACAGGTTCTGTACAGAAACTGAAATAGGTTACAGCTGTTTTAGCAGCACAAAGGAGACCTTTATGGTATTAGTTAGGCAATTTTATTGTTGTTGCCCAAGTGGGAAAATGCATCTAATTTTACCGGTCTGAGTAGTTTTCAGACTAAATTTTGATTTTAAAGCAGTAAAAAGCTGCACGTTAGAATTAGAATCTTCCTGAAAGAACATCAGTGCCAACAACAAACTGTTATTACCTTAAGATTAAGTCAATATAATTTACATTTTGCAAAAACATTATTAGCTTTTTTTTTGCTTGAGGTCTGTAATGCCAAATGAAAATAGGTTTTATCAAACTGCTTTTTTCATGTTAGACAGTGAGTTTTGGAGAAAAGTAATTTATAAACTAAAACCAGATGGACAGCATGTGTTGCATGTCTGATTGGATTGCTAATAGAGCTGTGTTTTTATTTTTTTTATAAGCTGATTGTATAAAACATTCAGCAATACTTGAYGAAGACTCACCCTGCCTGACGAAGGTCTGGCTGGTGTCCAGCAGGATGTCACAGCCCTCAACGATCATCCTCTCAATGGCCAGATTCTTTCGGATGTTTTCTGTGTCGCTCACCTCATCATGCATAACTCTAAACAAACACATCAGTTCAGGGTTTGAAATGAATACTTGGCAGAAAAATCGGAAMGTTTTGACACAAACCTGGACAGTTCTTCTAATTTGGACTTGGCAAACTCTAGACTTTTGCGYTCCACGTGCTCATGAGGCGTGTGCGCCAGTAATTCATGCAGGGTTATGATGTAACGAGGAATCTTTGGGAAAGAAAAAAAACAAAAAAACAAAACAGAACTGAGTAACTGATGGTTTTTACTTACAGTATATACTGCTGTTGTGTCATGTGCTTGGTAAACAGGGAGTGCAGCTGCGGTTCTGGATCACCTGGAACATGGGGTATGTGAGGAAGGTTTCCAGCATCCTTCCCTCGCAGGCGGCGTTCGACTCGTACTGTTTCAGCAGCTTGTCAAAGTCTCTGTTCTGCTTGCAGTTGGCTAAAACTTGCAGGCTGTACTGATGGTTGCGCACAAACTCCTGGTAGATGTTGAGCATCGGTAGCAGGATGTCGAACAAGTCAGCTGAAAGTAGAAACACAGACAGTTTAGAGTGCATGAATTATACAAGACCAGTGTGGGTAAAAAAAATACCTGAGTATTCTGTTGGGAATAAAAAGTTAAGGTCATTTCTGTCGTTTTTGGAATTTAGCTCATTGAATGTCTTGATAAATGCTGATCACAGCTGCATAAAATTTGATGGTTAATTTTTACATTTCTATCATCATGTTTGAATATTTTTTTATTGCTCAACATTTGAATCTTTGTTTCATTAAGAACTAACAAGGATGATTTTTCTGCTTTTTTACAAGAAGTCTGTTTGCTTCGATGTGTTTGTTTTTCATCAAGCTGAGCAGTTTGAGCAACAATTTGAACAGTTTTTTCAAACCTAAATACAATAAGATCCACTCCGATGTGGTAAAACAGACAAAAACACATCATAAAGGGAATGTGAAAGATTCATATTCTCCCAGACTCCCACAAATTCTGGAGCAGATTCCCAAATAGTCATAAATTTGCTATTTCCTGATCTGGACACCGACTCGCAGATGTCTTATGAGGCCAGTTTAATAAGTTTGAATTTTACTGAAGGCCAAAGAATGAAAAAGACAGAGAATCCCCACAAAAACATAAATTAGGGGCAATGATAAAAATAAAAGTTAAAAACCTGCTGACTGTTTTGATAATGGGAGAGTCTGTGCAGATGAAAATTACAGTTAAACTGTAAAAACATCACTGAGAAACTATCAAAGCTTTGGTTGAAAAACTACAGTAACTGTACGGTTTAGACCACACTGCAGATAAAACACAGACATCCAGAGTCTGCCTGAACAAAAAAGGTCCTGTAAGGTTGACAGGTTTAATCTGCAGCCTCCTTCTTGTTTTATTTGTCACCAGTAATTTGCTGCCACATCTTTCAGCAGCCTGTCTCCAAGGTGATGCTTATCTGTTTAGGGGACCTTTTTTAGGAGGAGAAACAGTGACATGCCTCCTGGTCTGAGCGGCCATTCTGACAAGACAATGAGTGTGAGGGTTGGAGGCTGAGATAGGAGAGCGGGACTCTGTGTATGTTTATGTGTGTGTGTTTGTGTGTAGAGAGAGAGAGCGAGAGAGCAGCATGACATCAGCGATGACGTCAGGTCTGATCGAGACAAACTGCAGAGATTTGCTGAAAACCTGACCTTCATGTTTCTGAGCCTCTTCAGAGAGAGAGAGAGAGAGAGAGAGAGAGAGAGAGAGAGAGAGAGAGAGAGAGAGAGAGAGAGAGA